ATTCATAGGACAACGGTAAAGGGGCAGTTTTATGAAAAGAAGTCAACAGTTAACATCATCTAGGTCCCTGTGAGTTTACAGAACATTTCACTATTAGACAATAGGAGCACCAGAATGCAGTGAACTATTTTACTAGTTAAAGGAGTAAGAGTCAGTAAAGCAAAGCAGCTTTTAAAAATCACAATATCTCAGCCAACAACATCATTCAGAAGAAACTATGACAGTTCTTTTCAATTTTACATTTCTCAATATGATATAGTTGCACAATCCTGCCCAACCTCACCTCTCTACTCAGTCTCTACTTAGGGAGTCAAAGGGTGGGAAAGCATGCAGGTCTAGATGCATCAATCATTCCATTTTTTAAAAAATTAGCTGTCTTTTCATTTAGGCAATTTTCCCTTCCTAGAAAAGCAATGAAAGTCAAATTACAGGAGCTTACTTGATTAAAAAAAAAAAAAAAAAAAGGTATCCCTATCCAAAATATCTTCCTGTATTTAGATTTTTGGTTATAAACTTATGACGAAGGAAAATTCAAATACCTTGAAAAGCTCAGAATGCAATAGTCTTTGAGGACACAGACCATTCCTTCTGTATCTTAACTTTACAAACAGCATTTATCCTAAAATTGCAATCATTAGGGGGCGCCTGGGTGGCTCAGTCAGATAAGCATCTGACTTCAGCCTAGGTCATGATCTCATCGTTCCAAGTTGGGAGCCCCACTCAGGCTCTGTGCTGATAGCTCAGAGCCTGGAGCCTGCTTCAAATTCTGTGTCTCCCTCTCTCCCTGCCCATCCCCAACTTATGCTCAGACTCTCTCTCTCTCTCTCTCTCTCTCTCAAAAATAAATGAACGTTAAAAAAATTTAAATTGGAATCATTAGGCTGACATCAATTCAAAGTATTAATATAAATTTATGAAACTTTCCTCATTTTTTAAGAAGATTTTATTTTCTAAGTAATCTCTGTACCCAACTCAGGGCTTAAACTCAGAGATCAAGAGGTGCATGCTCCACCTTCTGAACCAGCCAGGCACCCCCATTTTTTCTGAAGTAGGTTCCACACCCAACATGGGGCTTGAACTCACAATCCTAAAATCAACAGTCACATACTCTACTGACTAAGCCAGCCACGCACTCTGGAACTTTTTTCATTTTCATTTACTTATTTATTTTAATGTTTACTTATTTTATTGAGAGAGATTAAGAGAGGGGGGAGGGGGGAGGTGTAGAGGGAGGGGGACAGAGGATCCATAGTGGGTTCTGTGCTGATAGCACAGAGCTCCATGCAGTACTCAAACTCATGAACCATGAGATCATGACCTAAGCCAAGGTCAGACACTTAACCCACTGAGCTAGCCAGGTGCCCCATTTTCTCATTTTTAAACTAAGCTGCATAACATACTCCTTCTTGACACATATCATCTTTTCCTCAATACTTTTGGGCTGTTCTTTCTACCTGAATACTTGGTTGCCACTTAGTGCTCTAATTTCTGTCATTCAAATTTTATCAGAGGAAATTCAGGGTCTATCTCACATGCCCCCTTTTCTTCCATGCCCAGGGAGAGTTCAAGACTGAATCAGTCTTCACAGGGTTTGCTCACTATCCAACTCTCAAACTCCCTGAGGCTTTAGTAGACCCATGCAATACATGGCATGCAATCAATGCTCTATTAAAGTCGCCAAGTAATGAGACCAAGAGGTCAGCTGACTATAGTTGAAAATAGGACCACTAAGGCACTGGGGTGGTTCCGTTGGTTAAGCATCTGACTCTTGATTTCAGCTTAGGTCATGATCTAACATTGATCAGTTCAAGTCCCGTGTCAGGCTCTGTGCTAAGTGCAGAGCCTGCTTGGAATTCTCTCTCCCTCTCTGCTGCTGCCCACCCCCCACCCCACACCCCGTCAGTCATTTGCTCTCTCTCAAAAATAAATAAACTTTAAACTTAAAAAAAGAAAGTATTACCACTGCCTACATCTTCCCTCACTTATTTTTTTCCCTTTAAAACAGTTGAGGTGAAAAAGACTCAGTAAAGAAATTGGGAAGGCTCAAGAGAAGATAGTAAGGAGGAATCTACATCTGAGTGATTTCTTTATATTCCCTGAGACACCTGATCTGCATGCATATACACACCACAGAACAGACACAAACTAACTCTGGTTTTAAACACACACACACACACACACACACTCTCCAAAAGTCACTGCAGTGCCAGAAACATTTGGGAGACTGAGCCATCTGATGACAATTACAGGAATCCTGGAAGGGAAAAGAATGTTCAGGGAAGGCCAGACGGCCCTGCAATGATAAATCCTAGCTCAGCCCCAGAGTCCTCCCCACACCCTCCCCATCACTGCCAGGGACTGGTGGATGGTGATGCTTCCACTCAACATTCCCAGGCCAGTCCTAGAGGAGAGGCATGCTCACACATACTGCTAGAGAGAACACATCATTATTTTGGTTTGCTCAGTTTTCTCATCCTTTGAAGTGAGACACTTCTTGATTACCATGAGTTTGGCTCCCAAGGATATAAGACTTACAGTAAAAAGATAATTGAAAAGGCAAACCATTGAAAATATTAGTATGACAGTGAAACTTTTTTCTAAGTTCCTTTATTCATTGAATTGATCCTTGTGGAATTCAGGGGAGGGAATTGGGAGGTAAGTGTACTGGCTGGGAGGCAAAAAGCAGCACATATTTACTAAGCACCTCTCAGAGCAAGCTGCTTTCAGAATTAAGAAACCTTGCAAAGGAGATAGCATCCCAATTCAATGACAACTAAAGCTCAGAGAGGCAACGTGCCCAGTCCCAATGCTCTTAAATGAAGGTAGTGGGCTGGAAACCCAAGCCTACCAGACTACACTCTTCCTACTAAACTACACTCCCAGAGACTAACTGAATCAGAGTTAGATCTAGAATAAGACAAAGAGGCATTCACCAATCACTACCTTACCAAGGCACAAATGACTTAATTTCTTTCTTCTTAAATAATTCATCTAAAGTATAAGAAGTGAATAGCAGGTAATTCACAGAAAGTTTAAAAACTTTCTGTAAAAAAATTCTTAAGATTATTTGTAAGGGAGAAAAGCATACACACTTAGTGGGGTAAGAGCAGAAAGAAGGAGATGGAAGATCCCAAGCATGCTCTGCACTGACAGCAGAGAGACTGAAACTCAGGAACTAGGAGATTATGATCTGAGTTGAAGTCAGATACTTAACCTACTAAGCCACCGAGGCGCCCCTATTTGTAAAAATTTCTAAAAACTGTTATTAATTTACCCAGAGAACAGATAATGTTATTATTAGTCATTTGGTACATTTCCTTCCAGCATTTCTTCTTTATATATATATATATCTCTCTTTATGTGCCACAAAGTTGGCATACTATTTATAGTTTTATGTCCACTTCTTTTCAATTCATATATTGTGAGTATATTCCCATGTCATTAGAAATTCCTCAAAAGTCTAATCTTTTCAATAGTTACATCAGAATATATTTCATAACAAAAAGTCTTCCAACTGAAAGCTCTGTGCTGACAGGATTAGGAAACTTAAATACTTGAAATATTACATATTCCATGTAAGGAAACAAGGAAGTATAGGAGACTGTGAGCCATGAATCATGATTCCACAGAATCCCTGCTGTTAAGGAGACGCACTTCAGCAGAATCACATTTGACAAAATACAAAATTAGAAATATTACCAATCCATTAATACACAAAAAATGTACAAAATCCAAAATTAGGATTGCAAATTATCAATTATCTTTTGCCAATACATTTTCTGGGTCAATACAGAAGTCATAAGTGCCAAACATTGTGGAATCTTTTTTTTTTTTAAGGCAGAGAGAGAAAGAGAGAATAAGTGAGTGAGTGGGGGAATAGGGCAGAGAGAGAATCTCAAGCAGACTGCACACTCAGCATGGAGCCCAACACGGGCCTCAATCCCATGACTCTGGGATCATGATCTGAGCTGAAATCAAGAATTGGACACTCAACTGACTAAACCACCTAGGTGCCCCATGGAATCATCTTTAAATAGTCATGATAAACCGGGCTTCTACAAGGTGGCACACAGCAAAGAACTGTTCAACTATCTTATAAAACACGACAGTGGTAATAATGATAGCACTACTAAGTAGTAAAAAAGAAGAGGACAGTGATGGTAGCTTTCATCCTTTAAGTATTATTCTGTGTCGGTCACTGTTCCTAACTCTTAATATATATTTTTTAGATCTAATCCTTTCCAAATCCCATAGGGTAGCTACTTATCTCCATAAACTAACAAGCAACATGAACCCAGTAAACTTGAGATCAAGTCCATTTGTGGCTCTGATGATCTGCACATGGTTTCTTCTCTCTAGGTATCCAATTTCTCTCCTTTTCTCTGTGGCCCTCTCCAGCTCTCACACACAGGCTCGCTCTCCCCCCTCCCCCAAATAAACAAACATGAAAGAAAGAAAAGGAAGGAAGGAAGGAAGGAAGGAAGGAAGGAAGGAAGGAAGGAAGGAAGGAAGGAAGGAGGGAAGGAAGAAAGGAAGGGAGAGAGAGAGAGAGAGGGAGAGAGAGAGGGAGAGAGAGAGAGAAACCTCCTAGGCCACCTAAGGTGTACACTTGGTAAAAGTGTCACAAAAAAGTCCAAAAGCTAGAGCTTGCTAATTCTAGAAATTTGAATCCCAAGATGCGTGCAGTGTGTCAGTATCTAGTAATCAGATGAAAACCCTTGAGAAACTAAACGCTAAAAGCTGGCTGACCTAAACAAAAATATATTCTTACCAACAGTTGCCCAGGACAACCAAAACAAGAGGTCTGCCATGGTGGGGCATGAAAATCCAAGTCAAGTCCCCGTAAAGAAAGGAAAGCTATCCCACCAAAGAGAAGGCTGCCTCCAGAAGGCAAGTGTGGATATCCATCGGGGCCTGGGGGAAGACGTCCAAATCTTAATTTTCATCTAGCCCTGCTCCCATATATTAAGTTCATGTTTTAGCTCGATGAAAATAATTACCAGCCTTGCTCTGCAATCCATCAATTCACCCTGAGCATTCCTGATGATTCTTTCTTTGGTCTCCAGGACCCAAGAATCCCTTTCGTTGATCTGGAATATGAAGGAGAGATTGGTTGTTACTAGTTTCTCTCTTTAAATTCTAAATTTCTGCCAAGTAATTAAGAAAAGAAAATGAAGAATTATTTTTGAGTATTTTAATGGAAGCTATGGGGGTTAAAATAGGCATAGCCTCTCACAAAAATAAGATTAAAATCACACATCTTTGACCTCCCCTCATCTAAGCAGAATAGACAAATACAATTTGGCTCTAGGCTGTGAACTCAGGGATATGATCCAAATCACTTCCATTCAAATTTAGGTAGCTTGCCAAGAGTAGCTTGGTCAATAAATGAAACATATATAGATTTACAAAAGACTTTCATATGTTCCCTAAGGGATCCTAATGGAAGGCATTATTATTACTATCCCCATTTTACAGATGAGGACAACAAAGTTCAGAGGTGAAAAGTACTAGCCTCAAGATCACACTTAAAAAGTAGCAAAGCAATCTTCTGGGTTCAAACACCAATCTTCTATGCAATTTTTCCAAATAACATTATGTTTAAAGAAATTCCTCCAACTAGAAGTGACATTCAAAATGAAGCTAAGGACTTTATGAATCAAAACAGAATCTTAAGCATATCCACCCAGCAGGCAGGTATTCATTTTGCACTGTCCACTAAACTGTATAAATGTGATAGAGGAAACTGTGAAATTACCTCACAATTCCTCCCACCACCTTGTAAATCCATTTCCACTGCACAAATACATTGAATGGGCATCATAAATATAATAAACTTATAGCACAGAATACATATGTACATGAGAGATGAAGGTAAAGAACCATGTGGCAGTGGGGTGCCTAGGTGGCTCAGTCAGTTGAGCATCCGACTTCGGCTCAGGTCATGATCTTGCAGTCTGTGGGCTTGAGCCCACATCGGGGTCTGTGCTGACAGCTCAGAGCCTGGAACCTGCTTTGGATTCTGTGTCTTCCCCCTCTCTGCCCTCCCCTGCTCATACTGTCTCTCAATAATAAATAAACATTTAAAAAAAAAAGAACCATGTGGCAGTAATGACAACGGTGAGCCCTTTCTGCCATTTAAGTTATGAACACAACTGCTTCCTTTGGTCACCAGCAAACTCCATGAGAAGGCAGTCCGTGACTGTATGTACTACCAATCCAAAGCAGGTAACTCTAAAAGCTATATAAACATCAACAGAACTGTTCTGTATTGCCTAAAACCATGGTTCCAGGCTCTGCAATTAGAACAGGCAATGTTTGACTCAAGCATATGAAAGTCTGCTAAAATACACATATATATTTTCCTCTTTTCTGATTCTATAAGCAACATACTCTAGCTGCAGAAAATCTTGAAAGTGTAGAAAAGCATAAAGAAACAGAAATTAGTCATAATCCTAGCATCCAGAGGCAACAACTGATGATATACTGGCCTATTTCCTTCCATTTTTTCTGACATCTAGACCATTTAAAATATTTCATTCTCTACAGAAAAAGAAACTAGTTTCTTCAGGCAAGACAAGGAAAATATAGCTTAGAAAAATTTAATCCCATTGCATTTATAAATAAATTCAAATTTCTTGAATAAAATTTTAATGATATAACTACAGAAAAAAATAATTTAAAATCCTTTGGAAAAGCTCAGTAAGACCACCATCTAATACCTCCCAGTGCTACATCCACAAAACCAGTAGAAATAATAACCTATAATGAGCATAAATACGTACTCTTGTGAAAAACCTGTTTTATTTTTTCAAATTTTATTTTCTAAATAATAAATTACCCTATTATCCTGACTAGGTTTAGGATGCACCACCGCAAAATAGAGTAGGCTGGCATACTGAGTATCTTAAGCTGAAGGAATTTCCGAAAATGGCAGAAGAAGGTCACTCTACCTTCCCCTGGCCCTTGTTGCCTGAAATAGGCCATAAAACCTTCATGTGCAAGGTGCCTTCCCTACAGCAAGAGGAAAAGTGCATCCTTACCTCTGAAGACAAAGGGATGCAAAAAAGAATTCTAACAAACAGGTCTTGCTAAGTTTCTCCTGGTCTACTATAATTACCTCACATTCTTACCCTATCAACTTCCTCCACAACCATGCACTCTTCATCAAACCTAGCATAAAATACTCAGGTTTGTATCTTTGGGTCTTCCATTTCTTACAAAGTTTTCCATAAACTTTTTGTAAGCCACATAAAACTTAAATTAAATAAACTTCTATACTTTTCTCCTCTTAAGCCGTCTTTGTCAGTTTAATTCTCAGACCCAGTCAAGGACCCTATGGAGGTCCAGGAAAACTTATTCCTCCTGTATAATCCTATCAGTGAGAAAAGGGACTTCAGCTCACCCCAAGAAGAAACTATGTAGAAAGATGCATATGGTCCTATCTCGTTCTCAAAATTCCACTTAAATATACAAAGGATATATCATTTAAGTATGGTATATAAGGGGCATCTGGGTGGCTCAGTTGGTTAAGCATCTGACTTCGGCTCAGGTCATGATCTCACGGTTCTTGATTTTGAGGCCCGCATCACATCAGACTCTGTGTTGACAGCTCAGAACCTGGAGCCTGCCTTGGATTCTGTGTCTCCCTCCCTCTCTCTGACCCTCCCCCAGTCACATTCCTCCCTCCCTCCCTCTCTCTCTCTCTCTCAAAAATAAATAACATTTAAAACATAAGTATGGTATATAAGCCTTTTATGCATATTTATATAACTGTATATAATATGTATACAACCATATCTTCTAATATGAAACAAACAGCTCAAAATAAGGCCACTTGTGCCTAACAAAATGGAAAGAAATCTACTTTTCACATGGAAAAGTGGAGACTCAAATGCAACCAGTGACCTTGATAAAGCTACAATAGCCATTGGAACATATATATATTTTGTAGCAATTTCACCGATCATGTATTTCTCAGATACCTATTTAAGAAGGGCTCATATAGAACAAGTACTTTTGTACTAGTTACCACTAGGTAAACACAAGTTTTAAATAATCTTCAGTGCAACAGACCTGGAATTTTATTCCCCGCAGCCTAGTGATTTTAAATGCCCTGTGACCCTCTTAAGCACTGCCAACATCAACATCTGGTACCTGGCACAAGGAAAATAGATTCTAAGAGGTTGTTTTTTTTTTTTTTTTTAAACCTTTCATTTTCATCATGTGCTTTAAACATGTTTCTAAGGTAGTTCTCTTTCTCCTCTTTATGATACACAAAAAAAAAGAAACTATTCCATCAGGCAGCTGTATTATGTTTTTAAGACAGGAAAAATAACTGCCAAAAAAATCCAGTTGTTGCTGTTTTCTCATCTCCCCCCCAAGAAGAAGAAATTCTATTCAATATACCAGAGGTCAAAGATCTGAATGGATGAAAGAAAACCCCAAAGAGATTGTAATTATCTCCCCACAAACACATATACTTACAAAAACAATTTCAAAATTTGGAGCATATCCCCTAACACAATTCTCTGGATTTCTCTCTCCTACTCTTTTCTTCCTCCTATACCGTCTCATGTAAGGCTTTTTATGACCTTCAGTTCCCCCAAAGATTTTAGCAAAAACAATGATCACACCACTGATAATCAAGGTGCTCATTAGCTTTAAATGCAAACAAATCTTATTGGAAAATCTCAAAAGAATTCAAACTCATTCATCAAACTTTAAATACTAACCCAGGAAATTTTAAGTGACTTTTAAAAACTAAACATGGTGATAAGCAAAAATGATCATACTTGACAAAGAAATGAATGAGCAAACAGTGAAGAAATAAAAAAGCTAAAATATTTTATTCTAAGAGACTTTTTTAATTTAAAACAGAAATGTATAAAAAAATCAATTCTGCCTCCCAATTGTAAGTTAGTTGAAATAAAGAAATAATCCTTTATTGTATAGCTTTAAGACACTTGTGAAGGTTCTTTTTTGTATAAAGTCCTTTTTAGTTCCAACTCAAGATGGTAGTTATCACTACATTAGTAAAACAACCCATAAAAGTTTTCCCTCTATTTCAGCCTCATCAACTCATAATACAGGAGACATGCAATGGGCAGTCCACAGCTAATGCATCAATATTTTTCATAAGCACTCGTTACCTCATACGCCTCCTTAATATCTGAAAAAACACGAATGTCTTCTATGTGAGAGAAATTTTCTCAAAGAAAAAAACATGGCCATCATTCATTTCTTAGCCAAACATACTCAAGGAAACTCAGCATTGGGGCTGGTTAGAGTGCAAATATATTAGCTAGGACTTCAGCAAGTGTCTGTCATGTTGAATAGCATGAAGAAGAGAGATAGTAATTATTGCCGAGAAACCATTAGAGGGCTCCTTAGTGAAACATGCTGCCCGAGCAAACTAATGGACCAACAGTCCACTGCAGTGTCTGTTCCTATTCCATTTAGCTGCATGTCAGTCCTATCAAATCATCTGACACTTGCAATGCAGGCAGGCTCAATACAATTAGCAAGATCCCCTGCTCCCATGCCCTTTCACTGGGGCTACAACAAGCAGCTACATTTGTATAGCAAGAAATAATTTCTTGATTGTTTGTGACACAGAGATCTAAAGTCCTTCCAGAAAGGCCAATGTCGACTGGTCTCCCCTCAATTACAAAAGCTTCAGGTCCTATCATGTTTGTAAGACATAGGCAACTCCTAGAGTAGAGACAACCTGCTTCAAGTTCCTCATCTTTCTCCTCCTTTCTCCATCTCCAGCAAGACACTTTTCAAACCCATAGGCGGGGACAAAAGGTTTTTGCAAAAAATACACCACTTTGAAATTCAAAAACCAAGATCATGGTGGGCTCTGTACTCCACATGTGAAACATCTTCAGACCTAGAGATTTTGCTGGAGCCAGATGATGTTCACAAGAAGAGTGAAATTATGCAAAGCCAGTATGGTATCTCTCTTCATTTTCTTGACCAAATGGAGAGACGTTAACTTTGGGGAAAATAGGTAGTTAACTTTGTACTACATAGTGAACCTATTACTCAAAAGCTACTGCGTTTTTTTAAAAACCAGGTAGCAAAT